CCAAAGTTTGCATTTCCTGATCCAACTTTCCTGTTTCTGGCATTTTATACACTGGAGACGAAACAACTATAACGAAAGTTTCCACACGCACACCCACCAAAAGAAAAAGTAGCGTATAAGTGCTCAACATTGGACAAAAAGATGATAAAGTCAAATACGATTTTAAACTAGAGCTTCATTTGATTCAACAGAAGTTTCCCATTAACTTTCCTGCTAAACCTCAGTCTGAAGAACTCCTCGAGTGGCATAGTCCTGTACAGTGCATTGTTTGCCTTAACAATATCTGGCAATGGACCAATCTGAGTTCCCTTTTTTGGATTGTGAAATGCTGCAATTGAAGCCGCTCTTTCTCCTGATTAACCATAGCTCTATGCTCTATGCTCTATGCTTTTATATTCTCCATTGCTCATAATTTGCATTTATAACATTTGTTTAGTCTTTGCTAAGGCAGATTTCATATACAAGTTCAAATATTGTTATATTACCTATTTACCTCCATCATGTCTCCAATATTGGTGATCAATGCACCAGGGATGGGTTTGACAGGGATCCATTTGTCATTTCTCTTGATTTGTAGTCCTTCAACTTCATTCACTTGAAGCAAGAGTGTTAAGCTGGTAGCATCAGAGTGTGGGGATGCATCAAAAACCCTGCTTGCCTCTAGACAAGGTGGATAATAGTTAATTCTTATTCCTTGTGTTAAATCCTGAAAAAAACTTGCAAGCTTCTCCGGATCAGTCCCCAGGTTATTGGCAATAAACTTCATGAGTTGAATCATAACCTTATGCAACTCCATTGAGTACTTCTCAAAGCTTTCCCTGAAAACAGCTCAAGTTCAGTCTCCCTATTCTTTCTTTCTTTCTTTTTTTTTTTAATAGTCTGAGTTGATTATAAGGGTTTAGAATTGTTTAGCCTATGACAACGCACACATACCCTATGGATCGTTTTTGACTTTACCTGAATTAAGGGGGATTGGTCGGCCAGAATCTCATGTTTCTTAAGGAAACAGGCAGGGGGGGAAAGGTAGAGCATGTCATTCCAATCAAGCTTCTGATCTTCAGAAAAAACAAAGGCTTGACCATAGCCTTCTTTGTGATTGGGATTCTGAGCACAAGCAATCTTCTCCTCCAAAGGCAAGTTGAAGAACTCCTTCGTGTAAGTCTTCATTTTGTCAATCACTTCATCTGCTACCCCATGGTTGATTAACTGTTGCACACATCAGTAAAAGATGAACTACCAAGTCCATTGATGTAAAAGAAGTAGAGATTGTGTTTCGCTTAGGTGCCTGGAAGAAACCCCAGTCTTTGCAAGCCAAGTGGAGCTTTTTGAGTTCATCATCATGACCTAGTTTACTCATGTCAATCACGGGAATCTGCAGGGATTCATCTATGGAAACGACATCTAAGTCAACCTCTGGTCTGATATATCTCGGTGGGATTTTCTCCAGGTTCTTGGATGCTAGGGGCTAGGGCTTGAACGTTGTCAACAGGTAAAGAAACACCAAATCCTCTGCTCATCACCTTTGTTTCCATTTCTGTAAAGCTAAGTTCTCATCTGGGAAGAGTTTAATTTCTGTTTATAAGCTAAATAAAACACTAACATAGTTACGTTACTGCTTTAGGTAATTTCTTAAATCATCCTTTAAAAAAATACCTAACCATTTTGTCTTTTATAAGAATTATCCCTGTTCTTTTACTCTTTAAGCCTTTAGAAGCTGCATGAATGACCCATAAGGTGAGAGGAAGAATATGGTATAGCAATTGCCATATCACAATTGTTCGATGCAATTATTTTCACATCTAACTGTTTCTTTTATCATTTTCATGAAGAAACCTACGATTCTTTCTTAGACAACTGCTTTCCGCAAGGACGCCTTTATTATCCCTTTTAGTTAATGGTTGAAACATTATACGGTGAAACCAATTCTTGAAAACAACGGTACCATTTTGTCATAATCCACTCAGCAGCTTATCGTCCAACTCAAATAACTGTCAATTTTTATCATAGTTTGGAACATATTAATAGTCATGAGACTCAACAAAATAATGTCCTATAGTCGGAGGACCATCTTATAACTTTTAATAGTCGAGAGACTCAACAAAGCAATACCTTATAATCGGGGACCATTTATATACTTTACCCTCTATTTTTCTTAGTACAAATAGATATTTAAATTTGTTTTAATACAATTAGGTATTTAATTATTTTATGATACAAGTTGAGATCTAATATATTTTAATTATATATGTTCAATTATAATTAGTTCATACTTATACTTTTAATATTGTGCAGTTAAAAAGGACAATATATGCTTTATCTAAAACTTTTATTTATTCAAGTAACGTGTAAGTTTTTATCTAAAATAATAATTTGATTTTTTAAATATATTTTTTTAAAAATGAATTATAATATCAAATTAATAATATAATAAAAAATAAAAGATATTTCTGTTGATTAAAAGGTTTCAATAATCTGTATATTATAGATATACAACATAGAAGTAGCTTACTACATCAACTAGTTGGTTTGTTTGTTAAGTCTGATGAAGGCCCTGCTTTGTCATTTTCTTGAAGAAGCCTAAAGCCTAAGGATTAACAAACCTACAGTTCTTTCTAATTTCCCCATCAATTCCAGTTAGTACATTTATATTCCCCATCTTAACAACTGACTTTGCAAATGAACTGAAGAAAAGCTCTTGATCTGATGCAAAATCCCAAACCAGCTTCTTTATCTCCCCTTCATGGTCTTCATTCACCAACACGTTATCAGATCCTAACAGTCCATTTCCTTGATGAATGTTGATGTAATATTGATTGTCGAATTTTGCAGGAGTTAAGAAATCGAGCGGTGCGATCGCTTCGTCCCTTCCTGATTCCGGGCATATGGACCGGAGGATTCTTCGAAAAGTCCGGTATCGTTGGTACTTGTCGTACTTTTCTTCCATGTTTATATCGTAAACTCTTGTCTGAAACTCAAGCATCTAGCCTTACCAATGTATGGCTACCTGTTCATTTCATTAATCAAAGAATTGATTTTATGGTAGTGTTCCAATATGCATATATACATGCATGCATGCAATTTGCATACATACATTAAGGATTGAGAGAGAGACCTGACAAAGCAACCAAATCTTCTACATCGAGACCTTGTTGGTTAAAGTTGGCAATGAGAGTCTCCAGAGAGGAATTTGGGGTTGGAATGAACTGGTTTGCACCATCAAAGCTTGCTTTCAAGGAGTCTTTCCTCCCTAACCAGACCTCCCAACTTGGGCCTCCTCTCTGGTGAAACAGAACACTTGGTTATGACGATGGTATTACAACGGCTGCCTCGAATCATTTGGTATTAGATCAGACATATAGTAACATAAAGAAAAACTGTGAGTTTCAATACCAATGTGACGGAATCACGAGCGACCATTGCTAGAATATCGGCACAAGAGACGGTCAAAGGACAAGCCTCTTCCAAAAGGTGCTTGATCTTATCGATGACTTCGAATCCACGCAACGAATTCAGGTTAGGCCCTGCTTGCTTTTCACTAATGATGTCTCCATTGTTGTCCAAAAGAATTGATGCATCACATCCCTAGCACCCCAAATACTATTTTCATCAATTAAACCATGGAAACTGAAACAGAAAAAGAAATCTAACCATGACAAAGCAATCGTGAAAATGCAAGCGAAGGAGCGAAGCAGCCATTCGAGGATCTTTAAGCACTGCAATCTCGACATTCCTGCTAACAATCTCTGCTGCCAAGGGACATGTTTCTTTGTAGTAATCAAGATACAGTAGTCCATCTTCGACGCTCGATGTAATTTTAACTGCGTTTAAAACCGAAACCAGGAGTATACAGAATGCTCTAGTAATCTCCATTGAAGCAAATGAAAAGAACCCTACATATGGAATCAAGGTAGCTCGTAGGAATATTGCAGCAACATATAGCTATCTATATATGCGTGCACGTTTGACAGTTATGGTTTTCTTGTACCATTAATGCATCATCTGTTATTTTCAAACCTAATTGTCTTTAAAATTCCTTTGAGCTCTTTAATCAAAGTTGATGCAACTAACCCAACCAAACCGTTGTCTTTATTTTCTGTAACTACTAGTCTTGCCACTGCTACAGTCTGAATGATCCGATTCAAAACCGAGAACGAAAATTTCAACACATATGTTGTAGTTTAAGCTCTTGTTGTGTTATTAAAATCAATAAATGCATAGTCAAATTATGGTTCTGTCTAACTCTTGAACAGTTGAACCTTTCCATCATTCTGAATTTTCAGTAAACTTCTGAAAGTGCCAATTTAGTTCATACCATCACCAAAGTTGGATTAAACTTCACATGAAAGAAGTTGAATTATGTACATTATGCAAGGAGTTTAAACTGCAAAGCTGAAATTTCTGCAAAATTTCTGTGATTGAACTCGACCTTTAAGAAGAGTTTGAAGAAATATAAATTATAACAGTAACTATATGACAAAAATAAAAGAATTGTTTCTATACATTCAGCTCCACCGACATGACAAGTTTTAATGCTGTTGTTAAATCTATATCATAGTAGTCTGGTTCCCACCTCTTCAAACTTAAGGTCTGTTTATTTCACTGAAAACGTTTTTCGAAAAATGAAATCTGAAAATGTTTTACAGAAATGTAAATAATTTTCTAGAAAATATTTTCTAGTGTTTGGATGGTACATTGTAAATGTTTTACACTGTTTGATTAATTTTTCTGAAAACATTTTTCAGAATCTGTTTTTAATAAAGAATATACATATTGGATATGTTTTATTATTATTATTTTTAAAGGTTATTTTTATATATAAATTTTATAAAAATCTGTATTTTAGATAATATTAATAATTGATTAAAAATATATTATAAAAATTTATAAATCCTAAGAATGTTTAATTAATAGTACATCAAATTAAAACAACAATATTAAATAATATTGTAATAATAATAATAGTGTCAAAAATATGACTTTCAATGTCTTCTCATTACTACTAAAATCAAATGGATTGGTTGACGGATTATTGTCAAACTACATAAGCTCAGTAATTCGCTTGCATATAATAAGACAAAGACTTATCATAAATGGTGCCGGTATGTTAAACTTTGCACCGTTTAAGTATCTTAAGCCACAAAAAGCTTTGATTCAATGGGGTTATGACTTCTCAAATTGCGACTCATCGCAATGTGGGTCTAGCCAATCCCTGGGGGAACCCTTTGACATATTGGGGCTTGCTTTCCCACCACCTACAAGCTCTTTCAAATTTTCCACCTTGTTCTCTCGCCCTGCCCCGCCGATCCTTCTATCAGCTTCTTTTAGTTTTTGTTTAAACCGTTGCTTACGACTGGACATGTTTAGCTCCTTCTGCCATGATTGTGATGGTGGTGCACCATGCGATCCCAAATAAATGTTCTCTCCTTTTTTGGTCTGCACAAGCACAACAATAAATCACTAATTCACTATGTTCATTGGAGACATGGAAACTCTCACCCTCTCTACTGATAACAATCAGAAAATGATGTAGCATATTCTCTCTAATCCTAAAAGATGATCCTTTACAAGAGGCCACTTAGCACAACCATCTATGAACTATGTGCGAAGATATAATGATTTGCACAACTAGTCGGAACAAAATTTCGACAGAGATTTCATGGGAACAAAATGAAGCATTTCGGTGCATAATCTCCTACGGTTTGCAAGACATGACAACGGACGGAGCAAATCTAGGACTACAGTATTATTGTACAAAATGAGTGTAGAAAAAGTACATTTTGCATGACAGACGATAATTTAGACATTAAATAGATAAATGAATCCTGGGGATGTCTCAGGAAAATATACGGCGTTACCGGATACATTAAAAGATATTTAACAAATTCGGTTTAGCGCTACCGGAAATGTTGACTAATAATAATGTAGTAGGTCTAAGTCATGAAGAAATATTAAAAAATTGTGCAACCGGCAAACTTAACTTGTCGGTTCGTGTCGATCCAAATTAAAAATGTATTGATCCACAACGATATAACAGGTAAAACTATGACAAAATCGGTATTGAAATGATAAAACCGGTAAAGCGGTACCGAATATATTTAAAGTGTCGGTACTTTAATATAAAGATCGACACTTCGTTAATTTAAAAGAGAAGCAGTTTTAGCGCCTATAAAGTGTCGATACTTTAAAAAAAATGTATCGATGCACAACGATATAACAGGTAAAAATATGATAAAACCGGTATCAAAATGATGAAACGGTAAAACGCTACCAGATATATTGAAAGTGTCGATACTTATATAAGGATCGACACTTTGTGAATTTAAAAGAGAAGCAGTTTTAGCGTCTATAAAGTGTCGATACTTTAAAAAAAAATATCGATCCACAACGAATAACAGGTAAAAATATGATAAAATCGGTATCAAATGATAAAACCGATAAAACGCTATCGGATATTGAAAGTGTCGATACTTTCGTAAGTACGTGTAATAAATTATCGATACTTTCAAAGAAATACGTAATTATCCTTTCGAAAGTATCGACACCTGACATAAAAGTATCGACACTTTTGTATTTGTATCAATTAAATATAAATAACATATCCGATGAAAATATAAAGGTCATAGCTAAATATCCTGAAAATAGATAGAACGGACGAGTTTTTGTAATCAAAGCGTAATTGTTGCTGCATTTCAGAAGGCGTTTCTAAAGCGAAGTTTGTTTGTTTGTTACTGCAGTCGAATCGAAAAGTATGTTGTCGAAACCCTAGTTTTTTATTATTACAGTAATCGCGAATAGGGTTTTTATGTTGTTTTGGGGTTTTGGAGTAAAGAAACATTTGGGACCGATTGCAAGTAGAAAGTGATATTCAAGGTAAAATATAAATGTCGATACTTTATTAAATATTATAGGTAGAAAATGATATTATAGGTTGTATAAATGCCGACACATTTTGTAGTGGCCATTCAAATTCTTTTGAAGAAAACCGTTTTACCACAAGAGTAGTTATCTATATTTGTATATTGAATAAAGTGATGTAACAAAATAATTTGATTTGCGTAAACTGATATATGAAGGAAAAATGGAGTCAATGGGTTGGAAAATTGTTGGTGGCGCAGATGACTTTGAAATTGAGGCCGAGACTCGAAAGCAACCAAAGGGTGGATATGTACTTCTAGTAAGTATCAATGTCTTTTGTTATTATTGTTGAAATGGTAATTGGATTAAAGTATCGATAAACTTTAAATTGATTACAATTTTAAATGTTGACAGTATGGCCGAATGAAAAAGGATGAAGAAGATGGCACACAGAGCGGTTCGGTATGTAAAATGAAATTGACATTGAGTATTATTTAGTGTTAATGTATTGATTAAGAAACGTTTATGTTTATATAAGTGACAAAAGATGTGAGGTCCAAATGGAATTCGATGAGTGATGCTGAAAGGAACATTACATCACACATCAAGGAATGATAGTAAAGAATACAAAGAACGGAGGAAAAGCATGATAAGGTATTCATTAAACTTGTAAATACGTTGATACAAAATATATAAGAACTATAACATTATATATTGTTAAAAAATGTAGGAAGTGTCGACAAGATGCAGCTTAAAGTGAATTCATTAATTAAACACCTTAAGGAGAAGGGTCAGTTGAATGTGCTGGGAGAAATAGGTTTTGGATCGTTGGTAGGAGTAAGGGACGACCTATTCGGGGGAATTGTGTCGATCCTTGATGGCGCAATTTGATGTCAGACAATGTATTGCTAAGTATGGTGATTTTTCATTTCCTCTCGGGATCCCATGTGCTGCAGCCATATTGGGGGTAGAAAATGAAGGCAAAAGTGTTGTAGAGTCGTAAGAGAAGGACTGGAAAGCACTGCCTCCAAATATGGTTTGAAGCAGAAGGTAACATATGCGAATGAAGAGAAAATAAAAAGTGGATCTTACGGGGGGGATGAGCTGAAGGCCAGAGTTATTATACCTTGTCAGTATCTTTCTTTACCAACGGGTGATACGTCAACGAACAAGGAATTGCCTCCAAATATGGTTTGAAGCAGAAGGTAACATATGCTGAAATTGAAGAGAAAATAAAAAGTGGATCTTACGGGGGGGATGAGCTGAAGGCCAGAGTTCTATTATACCTTGTCAGTATCTTTCTTTATCCAACGGGTGATACGTCAACGAACAAGGAATTGAATCAATATCACCTTTAAAAAGGGCAGCCAGAGATACCTCAAAGGGTGCATAGCAATCTTAGAGGTAAATGAGTTGAAGAACTTTTTTGTGTTTATATAAAATGATATTAGTATTATATAAAATATAAATTTTATTATAAATGCATGTTGCACTGTTCGATTTTTGGTCGGGCTGTGGCAGTGTTGGCTTATGAAAGAAACCGGAGTGGCACGCATCCGTGCATGGGGGAAGGAAATGGTGGTTAGAGTGATGGTGAAGTTGAAGTTGATAGAGCGAAGAAGCAAGAAAGGGTAATAAATGTAATTAAATAATATTAAGAATAATCAATGTCTAATATTGTAATTTAATTTTAAAGGTTATTGGCAAGGATGTAGAGGAGTAGTGGAAGCAGAGGAGAAGAAAGGAGAGATGGTTGTATTGGGGGATGGCGGTGAGGGGGACGGCGGTGAGGGAAAACAGAGTAACTTCGACATTTTGATGTCTGAATTGGCTGATATCAAAAAAATCCATTTTATATCATGCAAAACAATCAAGAGTCGAAGAAAAACTTGATAGAGTCGAAGAGAAACTGAGAGAGTCGAAGATACACTGAGAGGCATAAGGGGGTAGAGAAGGAAAAATAGATGGAGTGGTGAAAGAAGTAGAGTGTTGAGGGGTGAAGTGGTGAAGAAGTTGAGGTGTTAAGGGGTGATCTTAAGATGGTGACGGGTGAAAATTTTGAGGGAGTGGTGAAGGAGGTTGTGGAATTGAGGAGTGAACTTACGGGGGTGAAGGGGTGGTTGATAAATACTTGGATGAAGGAGATCAATTGAAGGGTGAAATAAAAGAGTGAAGAGCTATGTAGAGAAAAAATGATGAACTGAAAAATATGAAGAAAAAAGAGGGGGATGAGAGAAGAGATGGAAGAAAGAGGGAGGGGAAGAAGAGGGAGGAGGAAGAAAAGAGATGGAAGAAATAAGGAGGAAGGAAGTCGATGTCTTTATACACCGGAGAGTGTTATAGCAGCAGATTTGGATTCGGAATGTCCTGCACCCCAGAAGAAAAAGCAGAAGGTAAGTTGAATAAAAGAAAACTTAATTTGATCTTTATTATGTTGTTGTGACAAAAATTTATATGCAAAATTATAAGTTGAAAAAGCGGATATTCCAAGCGGAATTGATGACATCAAAGCTGCAATTTGTGATTATTTATGGAATAGTGAGTTAGAATCGGGGTAAGTGAAATATAATGCTTTGTGAGTGATATTTAAATATTTCATGATAACATATTAATCCTAATGATTCATACATATATTTTGTAATCTCAATGGGAAATCAATTTGCTACTGTATACGACGTTGCAACGTTGAAGCCTACGGAATGGGTTGGCAGTGTGGTAAGTAGAAAATAGAAAATGTTAAAACTTATTGAATATGTTCTGATTGTGTAATTAATTTTGTTAGGTTATTGATTTACTCGCCTGGACAGTATACTACGATTCTCATAAGTCACTCCGGAAGATTGGCTACCTTTCATACCACTTAGCGGTGAGTTAAATTAATAAATGGAGATAAGTAGTGTATAGACGGTAAATTAATAATGTTTGTTGCGTAATTGCAGCATCAGGCGTTGGATGCCAATAACAAAGAAAGTGTTGAGAGTATTGGTACCTTCTGGGGTCCCATATTGGATAACTATGTGAAATACACCGACTGTGAGAAGGTAAGACACCATACCAATTGCAAATGATGTTTTCGGATATAGAATGTTGAATTTTGTCAAATTGGGTGTGAAATTTGTTGCAAATCATGATCACAATAAACTACCATAATTCACATTGGTATATGTTGGTGTTAGATATGGTAGATCGTGTTGCAACAATATATGATAGTATGTTTACATCTGAAGTAGCTAAACAGAGAGTGAAAGATGCTAAGAGATTGGTATGTCTGTATGTATGAAAGGACATTATGTAAATTATAATGCATAATTTTTTTGGATCATAACTTCTTCTTTTTTAATGCAAATTAAAATATTAGTTTTTATAATAAAACGTATTTGGGTTGAATATGTGGATCTCTAGGAAAGTTTCCCTTGAAAAATTTCAAATTTGTGGAGCATAAGAAGAATAAGCAATTGAATGGGTATGAGATGTTATCATAAATAGAAAGCTTAATTTATGCAGGATTCATCATAATTGACATGTGTGGTTTTCAAATTTTGTAACAGACATGATTGCGGCATGTATGTGATGATGTG